TTTAGAGTGTGAGATGAGACTTCCGGTGGAGACATCTTCGGCAGCCCTTTGCCATGGAGCGTATGTGTTGGCATCTCTCGGCCCAGCTCCCTTGTGTGTGTGTGAGGGGGTGTTCAAGTGCTCCTTGCCAGTTGGAGGGAGCACCGCATTGAGAGTGTGTGCCCCAACTTTGACTCCCGCTGAGGGCCTGGACTGCTCCTGAAACTGGGAGGAGGGAGGACAGCAGAGCCCGGAGCCCCAGGATTCCAGAGCAGATGCCAGGACGCTCGTCTACTGAAGTCATCACAAATCCATTTTAATCATATTAGAACCATAACGAGACCATTGAAGTCATGATTTTTCATTTCTGGGAAAGGTTTGAAGTCATCCTTTTAAGATGAATTGATTGGAAGGGGGTCGCTTTAAAGGCAAGCCAGCAAGCGAGCTGCTATGACTATGTGGCAGAGGCGGCCTGGGAGAGGGTGACATCTGCCTGGGACAGACGTCACCGTAGGGGACAGTTCTGTACCCAGGGAAGTTAAGGTAATTAAAGGGTGCCCTTCTTCATAAGAGGGGGTTCACAATGCTCTTGACACTTAGCCAATGCTCCACCAGGGTGGCATTTCTGTTCCATGCAGGTGGAGGTCATTCGGGGAGCTGAGCCCCAGAAATCCAGCCCAGAGCCCCCCAGGACAAGCTGACCTGCAGCGTCCCAGGAGAGGACCTGCAAAGGCCTGGCAGCTCCGCAGACTTGAATTATGTGAGTCAAAGAAATCTCTCCAGCCTAAGCTGGAACCCACAAGACTGAAACTAAAAATCAGACCTCGTCATGCCCAGGCAGAGGAGGAGCAGGAAGTCTGTGTAACTGGCAGCCCAGCCTGTTCCGTGGGGCTGGGGTGAATTCACCTCTCCCAGGAAACACTTAATGAGATTACAGCCTCGACATTTGCAAGATGTATCTGCATTTTCAAAGAAAAAAATTCTATTTAGCTTTGCTTTCTTAATTCTGCAACTTTGCCCCCTTCTGGAACTCTCTTTCCAGAAGATGGGATACAATTCAAATCCAATTTTCCCTTGAATAGTAATGATGATAGTTAATATTTCTCAGGTGGCTCCTACACTCAGGGTTTTATCTCTTTTATTCCCCATTACAATGCAACAAGGAAGTTATTATGTATATTTTTCAGATATGGAAAATGAGGCTGGGGGAGTTAAGGAGACTTTACCAAGAATTCAAAGCCATTGTCAAACTGAAGTTATTTCTGATTTCCAAAGACCACATGGTATTCATCACCCACCTCCCTAACCCATCCACCCATCCATCCTTCCATCCATCTATCCCTCCACCATACATAATTTTTCAGGATCCACATGGCCCACACTACTCAATTAGCTGTGTGCTAATTAGGAACAGAAATTTAAATACATATATAGGAATAAAAAATTGGCTTTGCACTGGAAAAATTCAGCGTCTAGAACAATGGCCTCAAACTTGAGTGCACAATAAATTACCTGCAGAGCTTTTAACAATATCCCACTGCTCGGGTCACACGCTTGACCCATTTCATCAGCCACTCTGGGAGTGGGATCTAGACTTAACATTAACATCCCCCCACAACTTCTCCAGGAGTTCACTGAGCAGCCAGGCTTCAAACCAGCGCTGGTCCGGGTTCCCGGATGTGGTCCTTGGACCAGCAGCGCTCCCATTACCTGGGGCTTGCTAGAAATGCAAATTCGCTGGCCTCTGGCCAGAACTCAAAAGACTCAGATGCTGGGTGTGGCCTCAGTGCTGACAAACCTTCCAAGGTGTTCTGATGCAGGAGAGGTTAGCACCACTGACCTAGTCCCCGGAGACTCACACCGACCGCCTGGTGGCCCAGAGGCATGGAGCGTGTCAGAAATGCAGATTCTCAGACTGGTCAAATCTGCAATTTAAGGTTTTCAGGAGGTTCTGCGCTTCTGAAGCGGTAGAACCACACAACTGATTTCCACGCAGTGTTGCTAAGCAGCTGCAATGCACTTAGCAAGATCTCATCGCGGGTGTTTAGCCCCAGCCCATGGGAGGTTACTCTAGCAATCCCTGTTTTCTTTCCTTATAGAAGCCCCCACTGTCTGAAGTCCCTTATTGGTGTAGAAACAGTCATTGCCACTTCTCTAGCACAGAAGTTCTGGGCAGGAGTCTGTCTTGTTTTCCACCACATTTCTGGCGGCAATAAGAGAGCCTGGCCCAGGGCAGGCGTTCAGGAACTAGTTTCTGAGCAAATGCATAGAGGACACTTGTCCCCATCACCTGGATGAGGAGACTGAGGCTCCGAGAGGGGTGGGAAACAAATGACACACGCTGGCCTGGCTGGGTCCAGCCCCCCGTTGGAGTGACATGCAGGGGCCACAGGGGTGGGGTGTGCAGGACGTGTCTGGGAGTGACCAACCCCAGCCCAGGAGCAACTGCTTCTAGGAGCAAAAGAAGTGAAAATCACCCTCGGTGTTCATCCGCAGGGGCTGACTAAGTGAGCGAGGGCGGTCACTCTTTGGCTACTATCCAGTTGAAACACAAGAGCTTGATCACTATGTCATGTATCTTGAGTGAACAAAGCAAGTGAAACACACACACAGGTCCATGTTCCCTCATGCTCCCCTGAGTGGGGGTCCTCCCTGGAGCTGGGCCCTTGCACTCATTCAGTGATGACCCCAGGCCAGAGGAAGGGGCCAAGCAGAGTTCAGAGGCTGGGCAGGAAGAAAGTGGCCAGTGGGGCCACAATCAGGGTTGAACACCCCCGCAGAGGCAGGCGTCACAGCCCCTCTGCAGAGAAGTGTGTGTACATGACTGACCCCAGGCCCTACCTGCTCTGAGCTTGACCCCATCCTCTCCCACCTTTGTGCTCTGCCCCACAACCCTGGGCTCAGCGGCCAGCTTGTGCAAGGTGGGAAGGCGCACAGGAGGAGAGGGGTGATGTCATATAGGGGATGGGCCTCTGAGGTCTGTGACCCTTCAGGGCTTGGCATAAGGGGTTTAGAAGAGGGGTCCCTGGCGCCTGGGCATGTGGGTCTGCTCCTTGGAAATGCCACTTGGGCGACTTAACCTGGTTGTCTGACTTGCCCGCCTGTAAAGGTAAACTCTGAGAGCCTCAGGGGAGCGAGGCCAGCGGCATATGCCATAGACACATGTGTAATAGCTGAGTATGGCTGAGCAGTTAATGAGGAACAGTACAGTATACCGATTAGGAGAACAGATTTGGGAATCAGGTGACCTAGGTTCGAATTTTGACTTCATGTAGCTTCGTGTTGATGCTACACCTCTGTGCCTCAACAGCCTCCTCTGAAAAAGGCGGTTGATAACCATATCCACTTCTTTGCGTGGTGGGAAGTGAATGAACACGTTACTCCCTGCACAGAGTAGTGTCAAGCGTTTCCTTGTTGACGGTGGAGATGGGGCAAGAGAATCAGGGTTGCGTGGCTTCGTACCCGGCACCAACAGGTGCTCACAAAAGCTAAGGAAGAGTGTTCGAGGCAGGGACTCCTCTAAGGGACCCCTGACCTCAGCTCCCAGTAGTGGCCATGCGCCTTCCCGGTGCTGCATGTCTAAGGTGCTCAGTATTTCAAGAGAAATTCTGGTTTTTATGTGAGCTTTCCTGATTTTGACAACCTTGCAGGTTAAGCCAAAGACACACCTGAGGGCCGGGCTGGGTGGTGAACTGCCAATTTGCCAAATTCACAGTGGCTATCTGATTCAGAGGAGAGCCACTGTGGAGCATGTTTAACTACTGACCATGCTCCCAGGACTGCCAGGCTCTGTCCTTGCAATCTGCTCCCTCTGGAGGGGTCAGGGGTACACCCTTGACCAGGGAGAAGCCCAGGGTTATGACACGGTGCATGGTGGGCTGGCTCGGGAGCAGCGCTGCAGGGATTCAGCTAAGCTCTTCCTTGCTCAACAATCTAGGATTTTTCTCTGCTTCCCCTGGCCCTGACGTGAAGACAGTCTGCTTGCCTTCTGCCTCTATTCAGAAAGAAAAGGGTGGCTGTCATGTAACAGGGCTCAGACAGTGTCCTCAAACTCTGGACGAGCCCCAGGTCATTTCTACAATGTTCGAGAGTTCCAGGGGGCAGGAGGATGCACTCTCTTTGGGGCTGCTTTGACCTGGAGCCTCTCAGTGAGCCCGGTGGTTCCCACTTCCTAGCCAGCCTACCAGGAAGATAGCACTGTCTGTGACAGCGATAATCACTTCCCAAGCTCAGGCTGCTCCAAAGCAAATCTCTTGTGATCTTAATTTTGACCAGACACACATCTCTTTGGCTTTCCATGACAGCTCTGACACATCTGTGGCCACAAGTTGTCATGAAACGCAGATAGTGATGGGAGAGGCCACAGAGCTCTCAAACTAGCAGCAAATCCAAAACCGGTCAATGAAAGGGTTAAGCCCAACGGTTAAAACATAATAGCTTAATGCCTTTTGCTAACCCTGTGCTCTACCAGGAAGGCTGACAGATCCCAAACAGAGCAAACAATAGCTGGAATTGTTCTGGTGAAAACTAGTCCAGCCGCCTCATTTGCCAATAATTTTTAAACAGCTTAACTCTCTTGCTTCCTTGATTCCAACCCGACCTGAAAGCAGAAGGCAGCTGGGATCTCGTCCCAATGTCAAAGTCTGGGAAACAGACGCCTGTCTGGATGGGGCAGTGACGGGGGAGCTCAGACAGGTGGGAGCTGGACAGACCCCTGCAGAACACGCCCAGCCCGCCCAGGGCACACTCCTCCGTGGAGGGGTCAGCGTGTCTTGGACCTGGAGACCAAGACAGCAAGTTCAGAACAAGAAGAGGCACACCTTTACCTGTAATTCCTAGACAAAGCTATGGGCAGCGTCTGCCTAAGTGTTGGTCCAGAGGCAGCAACTGGGAAGGCGGGAGGGGAACCTCTCATGGAACACGGGACTGTTGACAGACGCGTGTCTAAGGCTGCCCGTCCCTTCTGCTATTCCGTGGGACGTGCTGGGACCACCCGCGTCCACGCACACCAGCAGGCCTACCTTCCGCGTCACTCAGAGTCCAGACATCGGCACCAGCACAGTTAAGCTTCAGTTTACCCGGACAGTCGCTGTTTACAGTAAGGCTGGGTGATATCACTAGTCCTAGCATTTCCTTGTACCTGGAAGAAAACAAAGGGAAATATAATTTATTCATTATTATGCATGCTTACTAATGATTCCTATTTCTTTCCCTAAGAGTATAAATATTAAAGCTGATTACCTAAACCCAGCCATCTTATAAATTCTACATCATAAAAATTCACTAAACTTTTCATCAAAGGGAAATGAAGAATGAAAATGAAGTACTTGTCCCCCTCCGGAGAATACACCTACTTGATTAAAACTTTCCTCTCCTTCAGACTGTATTTTGCCATTAGAAAAATTATGTTTTAGTCTCTTTTCAATGTCATCTGAATGAGTGGAAGCCAGCCAGAAAGACTTCCCAGAGGAGAAAGCGGGGAACAGGTAGCATTTGGGCTTGGATTCCCAGAGGCTTGGGGGAGAGACAGGAGTTGACTGTAGTGAAGAGAGAAAAATGGACGTGCTGTAACAAGGAGTCTTGCAGAGATGGAGAAAGCCTCAAAGGTGCCAGCAATGCTGGACAAGTCACATTCCACAGTCCCTCATGGTGGTCTCCACCAAGAGAAAACATTAGCTTCTGAGTTACTTACAACTTTGATAAAAATGTTATGGTGGGGGAGGGGAGGAACCCACAGGGATGTGTATCTTTGGGATTTTCTCATTTTGTATTGGAAGTTTTTCCAACTCTTGTACCGTATCAGCACTTATTCCTCCTAAATTCTTACCATCATAGTTAAGAAGTAAGCTTTCTGGTTAACACACAGGCTGTCAAATGTGGCAGACCCACGTTTCAGAGGATGAGACTACAACTAATACTGGTTGGCATCAATTCAAGCTGTTCTCAGAGAAGGTACAGCTTACTGAGCACAGCCAAGTGGCTAGAGACTCAGATACTATTGTGAGTATGTCATGAATTCAAATTCCAGCTTTGGTAGACACCACTTGAACAAGTTACTAAATAGCTCTAAGTCAAAATTTTCCCCATCTGGATAATGGGGGATTACCCAAGTATTTGCTTGACAAGGTCATGGTGAAGATGAAAAGAGATTATGGAAATGAGGGACATATAGTAGGCAGTCACCTAAATGCCCATTCACTGCCCTAGGCATGAATAACTAGCCATGCTCAGGCACTGGAATACAATACAGCACTGAAAAAGAAGGAGCCAGAGCCCTGTACAGGACCATAGGCAGATTGCCAAAGAATTGAACAATGAGAAGGTCACCCAATTTATACTACCATTTCTATGAAGTTCAAAATACACAAATCAATACTAAACATTGCTCAGGATATAGACATGTGAAATAAAAAGATTGTAGTGTAGGAATAATAAACAACAGTTTCAAAAGGATGGCTAAGTGGAGGTCAGAAGAAAAATGAGTTTTGGGAAGTGTCAGCCTGGGGAATTCAACTCTATTTTAGTTCAGGGGTTGACATGAACTATGGTCTCTCCAAATCTAACCTGCCATCTATTTTTGGGGAACACTTGAGATAAGACTCATGTTCTGTGCTGTATAAATGATTGAGGGGAAAAACCAAAAAGAACAGCACTTCATAATGTAGAAATGGTGTGAAATCCACATTTTGGTGTCCTTAAGTCCAGAACACAGCCCGTTTGCTGTTTGTTGTATTATCCTCAGCTACTTTGACATTGCAAGCATTAGTAGAGGAGAGGTAACAAAGCCTTGCAAAGCTGAAAATAGTTATTATCAGGCAGAAAAAGCTTGCCAACCCCAATTTTAATCTATAAGCAGGAGGACAGAAATTTTCATTTTTTCCAAACTCATTGCTCTCATCCTTTTGGATCTATGCAAATAATTTAAAGTTAACAAATAAACAACGATGTATAAAAACTGCATAGGTCCCTAAACACCCACACGGTATGAGTAAAGGTGTTGAGGCAGCAAAGTGTTAACCTAAATGAACAAATCCAGTTAAAAACAAAATGAATTGTTTGCTCCACCCCATGGGATTTAAAAATATTTAAAGTACTTGCCAATATTTAAAAACAAGGCATTTTACATAAAAATCTAGATTTTTTAGCTATTCTTGAAAATAGAAGATGATTATTCTATCCCTGCTTTGCAACCATCAGCTGGGACTGAGTTAGTGCTGTCCAATTTAGTCAAGAAATATGGGCCCTAGTTTGCCACAGTCCTTTCCACTCCCTAGTGTATTGCATTTGATGTTCTTTTTCCATTTATTTTTCCTTCTGGTTCCTATAGGCCTTTCCATTTGAGACCCACGGCATATATATCATCAGGAAACTGAAAGGAAAGAAAGGAAAGAAAGAGTAATGAGACCCTTCGAGCCTCTGTCTCATAGCTTATTTGTTTTCCTGAGTATTGCTGTCATCCTCACGCACTCTTGGCCTCCAAGAGTATTGCTGAAATTAGAGCACAGCAGGAATGTTCCAGTTTTAACTCGAACACAGAGTGTTGCTACTAAAGTATTTGGTGTATTCACTTAGAATCTTGCTTTAGATTCTGAAGGTCAAGTCAAGATGGGAATCATCTTTATTTCACCCATAACACTGGACAGAGAGTCTTGTTCATTGTCATCTGATTAACATCTACTGGAGGATGGGAGGAAAGAAGTGAGAGAGAGGGAGGAGGGGATGCGAAGATGGGAGGAGGGAGGAAATCTGTAACTGAGTGATTAACTTCTTCCAAAAGGATTTTAAAAAGTTCCTGTTCATCTTCACTTTCCATCACGCCCTCAAGACAATGACTCTCATGCGTTAATGACATCTCCTTATAATGACACTGTGCTCATTTATGGATGACATGTTTTAATTGATAAGAATGGTGTTGTGCATGAGGTCTCATTCTATTTACTAAGCCTTTTACTCCGCCTTCACTATGATTTCAAAACATGCACATTGTTGGGTGGCTATCTCACTTGGAGCTAGAATTCCACATAGTATTTATGCATTGCCCTACTAACGAACATCTAGAAAGCCTTCATCTCTCAGCTACCATACACAAGGCTGCAGCCATCTTCATTAAAATATACATATATATTCACACATAATATCTGAATATACACAATTCTTAAAACATATATGTATTTGCAGAGGATGTATGTGCCTTGGTAATATACATGAACTGAACTCGGGCAGTTACTAACAGATTGTTCTTCCTAATTCTTGTGCTAATTTAGATTCTTTAGTTTCCTAAAGTCTTGCTAACACTTGGCATTGCCCAATCTTCTAATTTTTGCCAAGTTGAGGGGTGAAAAGCAGTATTTCATACTTTTTTTAGTTTGTATTTCTGTGACTATCGTGAAATTGAGCATGTATTCACGTAATTGTGATTATAAGTAACATGGACTTCTGGGAACTGTCTAATTCTATCTTTTGTCCTTATGTTTCTACTGGATTTTCTTTATATTTCCTTTTCTCACTGATTTGCTGAATCAGTGATTCTAGATATGAGTTCATCATTAGTTTTAGATGCTGTAAATTTATTTTCTTCATCTTTCATTTGTCTGTTTATTTATAGTGGCTTTGGTAGAGTAAAAATATTCTTACATATTTTCCCTGTAATTTCTTTTTTATTAAAGTATGAAATTCCTTCTCAATACCTATATTTTTAGCTATTCACTTAGAATTTTACTTCTCTTCTTTAAGTCTTAGTTCACTGCAGTCTGCCTTCTTATGTAATCAAAAGTTGCATTTTCCTGCAACACTGGGGAAAAAATAAAGTCATTTTTCCTAAGTGTATTAAACGATCCAACTCAACTCATCTTCGGTTATGATGGGATAGTTTGTCTTTTTGGTTTAAGATCACAATCACCATAAAAAATAAAAGCTACAAATTGCCTCTTCAGGCACAGTGGAGGGCAACCACAGAGGACTTGAGGGCCCAACACCCCTGAATCAAGTCTGACCTCTACCATTTCCCCCCTCAAAACAATTGCCAACTTACAAGTACAGAAGAGAAAAGGCACAGCTTAATGTTTTCATTGGGCTGGAAGATAAAATTGGAGTTTAAAGCTACTACGGCAGCTAGGATACAAGCAACAAAACTTACAGAAATAGAAAAGCCACAGAGGCCCTCCCTGATGGTGCAAAGGGTTAGAGCACAGCAGTGCATGCTGGCTGCAGCTGCTTCAGTGCGAGCTCAATCCCCAACCCCAGAGGTGACCCGCATGGCGCGGCAGACCTCTCCTGAGCGCCTGCTGCTCCCCTCAGCAGTGGACTTCGTCGATCTGCCTGTCCTGCTCCCCACTCTGTCTCTGGTGAAGCCTCTCACTACCCCTGCACCTCTGGCCTGTACCCCAGTTTTGTATGCATCAATAAGTAAATCTTTAAAAAAGAAAAGTCACAGAGAAATGAGCCTAGTGTTGCTGACAATTGTTACCTTGGAGGTGTTTACTGATGCCTAAGCTGGGTGGGGCAAGAGGCAAAGAAGCTGAACCGAAATGGGAAGCATAGAAGACAAGAAATGAAGCAGAGCTTCTGGCAATCTCCTAGCACTAGCGAGGCAAAAACTGGAGTTCACGGCCCAACAAGGATGAGAAGCCTTGGTAAACACACCAGTCTTTTAAGGGGGACCCCTGAGAGGTTACTCCCTTGGAGTAAGGACAAGCCAAACAGATCCTACATTGAGTCATCATAATTCCTTATTGGAGCAAAGAGATTTGTCTCTATTATCATTCCCTGCCAGAAGGAAAGGAAACTTTTCTTTGGGGGAAGATGTCATCTTCTGGAGTTGCCACAATTTTTTATATACAGTGCTCAGCATCTAATGAAGAACTGCCAGGCATGTAAGGAGATGAGGCCAAATGATCAAAAACCAAGACAAAGAAACAAGCTCTAATAAAATTCAGTTATCTGTGTCATCAAATATGGACTTTGCAACACACTTGATAAGATGATCAAGAAAGTAGATATTAGGTGGAGAATACTATTGGAAAAGTAGAATCTTTTAAAAAATCAAATGGAAATTAAAATAGAAAAATAAAAAATTGACATTCAGTACTGAATAACTGAATAGAACTCAAATGTACCCAGAGATTGGACATGGC